ATTCACTGACATCTGACCTTTACTGGGGAGTTCGGTGAGTTTGGAGTCGGTATCCAAAATATAACCACTAACGATAGAACACGTAGACCGGACAAGTAGTGTAAAGCGTTTTGCACTCTTTTTTTCGGGAGCTACCTCCCAGACTACTTCGTATTTGCTCGGCTCTACAAAACCACAATCATTTCGCTTCATGCACTCGACCGAGATGATCAAATGTTGAACAAATGGTTCCTCTATGTTCAATTTTTTTTCTTGCTCTCTCTCTCTCTCACACTGTTCTCTGCTCTCTCAAATATGTATATGTATGTTTACATGTGAGCACAAGCAGCAGCTCACAAAAATTGAAATTTCTTCGCGTTAGACTCCCGTTTCTCCCCTTCTGTGTAAACCTAACTCTTCAAATCGTTTGCCATGCTCATGAAAAATGTTTGCGTTTTCGTTATTATTTGGGGAAGGGTATGAAAGCGTTGGTGCGCATAATAAAAATATTTTCGTGTCGAGCATGCGAAGCTCTGGCTGTGCTCACATACATATGTATATACATTTGATTGTGTGTACGCATGGGATGCGCTGCTCACAATTATGGAATATCACTTGTATGCCTCTGTGCCTTTACATGTGTGTGTGTGTATGTCTTTGTTTGTATGCATGGGAGGTGCCTCCCTCAACTTAGAATGGTGTGAACGATTTTGGGTTTTAATTAAGAGGCGCGATTATATTTAAATAACTGACTAACTAAAGTGACAAGTGCACTTCCCAACACTTTTTATAAGTTTTTTACTTGCATGCATGTATGTACATATATAAACGGGTGCTAGAGATCGAAAATCGCATCCCATTTTGCCCACTGAGCTTAATCAGGTACTACATTTATATAACAAGTAAGACAACTCTAGTCGAGAGTGCTCGAATAGATACTACCCTAAGCCCAACTAATAAAATTGTCCATTTACTATGGCTAAAATTTCAATTTCGATGTATTTCAAAATATAAATGATATACAAAACTCATTTAATAAAATATTAAAATATTTTGAACCAATTAAAAAAATTAACATCAGTTGCACCGCTCGGGATTCAAACCCGCGATTTCTCGATCGAGTGTCACGCAGCTACTCACTACGCCACCTCACTTTCGGAAGCCGTTTTGGCAAAACTTAAATAGATTCACTGCTGCAGCGCCATCTAGCAAAACTAAACCAAACTAACTGCTGATGTGATACTAAGAATAACCAAACTTTTAAAAACGCACATTTAGTATGGTTAAAATTTCAATGTCGGTGTATTTAAAAATATAAATTAAATAGAAAACTCATTTATGAAAATATAAAAATATTTTGAACCAATTAAAAAAATTAACATAATGTAACGAACCTTCGGTTTATCCCGAGTCTAAGCTGGGCTAGTTTCAGCTGACTGTGGATTCGTACCAACAAATTTATTTGTTGAAGCCCCTGCGATATTAATTAGTCACTTGTGAATTTAGGTTTTATAGCGTAAATGTATATTCTCTTAATAAGTTTGAAATGTACACGTCACTTAAATTTATGCTGGTTCGCTGGTTGGCTTTAGCGAAGCACACCTACTGAGCGCTGGTTCAACGCACTCCGGCTGGGAGAGTGTTGTGCTAAAACACGCTAGTTCACCGGGTCGATTCGGCAAACGCCAGGATTTCGATCTGTAAACTCTGGCGGTTCGCTCAGATATACAGGCCTCTCCTACTATCCCACTCGTTCACAGCACAACACTAGCTATGTTTCCCTCACAAACACCTCTCTTGCGCACGGCTACGTGAACTTATTCAGATGTGCAGGCGTCGCTTAAGCCGCTGAAATGCACCGATGTCCTGATCGGTGCCGCTGATGATCCGCAAGGATTCCCTCTGGATGTCCTTGCTGTTCCCACGATGTCCTGGGAGTCCTGACTTACCACTCGCGTTGACTTTCACTTGACTTTGGCACTTTCTTCACGCACTTCGACTTTCACTTTATATCTTCTCTTCACTATAGTTTCGACAGCCTCGTATGGAGCTGCTGGTGGCCTTTTATACCCCAACCACAGGCCCTGCTTCGTGTGGTAACGGGGCCTGTTCGGCTCTGGAGCGGGGCCTTTCTGTTGCTCGTGCCCATAAAAACGGTGAAGTGGCGTGATCTGGGTGACGCCACTTTCCGCCAAATTGCGTGGCAGCCTCCCATTGGCCGAAGTACCGTTGTTGCCATGCGAGTGAAAATATCCACTGCTATCACCCGGCCCGAACGGCACCTCGGCTAACGGTCACCGATGATCGTCGTGCGTGCGACGCGAACCCATTGCTAAATCTGTAGGAGCGAAAGAGACCGCCTCTAACAGGACTTTGACCCCCTTTCCAGTGCGAGGGTCGCTCCTACAGTATTCGTGTCGCTGTGTGGAGCAACATGTATATGCACGTATATGCATATAAACGCACAGCAAATACGTACGTTCATATACATTAATACGTGCATACCTATATTACTCCTCACAATAAGTTGCACCGATCGGGATTCGAACCGCGACTTCTCGATCGAGCGTTATGCCGCTAACACACTACGCCACCTCACTTTTGGAAGCTGCGCTGGCAAAACTGAAATAGATTCACTGCTGCAGCGCTATTTACCAAAACTAAACCAAACTAACAGCTGATGTGATTCAAAGAATGTTCCAGAAGAATTTTGAATGTATGTGTGCAAACGTATACGATGCTGTACGTGCGTTTGTTAATTGGCGAAATATTTGATTATTTTTTATTAATTTTTGACTGAACAGAATTTAATGAAACTTGCAGCATATGATCTACATATTATATTGAATATTTGGGAAATTTAAAAAAAAAATGAAAAATCATTCACAATTAGCTGTAGTGGCATGTGACTTGAACTTGAATGTTTTTATTCGATAAAAACATAACGGGATGATTTATCGAATTTTAAAAGCAAACTCGACATCATTTCAAAAAAAATTCAAGTCTCTAGCTCTTATAGCTTCGGAAATCGATGCGTTCAAACATACGGACAGACAGACAGACGGACAGGGCCAAATCAACTCAGCTCGTCGCCCTGATCAAGAATATACATACTTTGTGGGGTCTGCCATTATATCCTGATTTCTCATTGAAAACGGGTTAGGTTCGGGCTACGAAAATATGGGAACACAAAATTATTTCTCTTCATGCCCTCGGCCGAGATGGTCGACTGTTGAACAAAAGATCCCTTTACGCTGAATGTTTCCCTTGCTCTATCGATGCTCTCTCCTCTCTCAAATATGTATATGTATATATGCATGTGAGCACAAGCAGCAATTCACGAAAATTGAAGTTTCGCCTCCCATGCGTACACACAATCAAATATATATACATACATATGTATGTGAGCACTTCACAAGATCGACCAAATGCAAATGCTGGGATTTAAAATTGCTACAGGCAGCAAGAGCTTCGCACACAGGCATACAAATGTTCATAGTACATGCAGCATACTGTAATTGTGTGTGTGCATGCTCGTCGTGAAAACATTTTCATTATGCGCACCAACGCTTTCATACCCTTCCCACAAATAATATCGAAAACGCATGGCAAACGGTTTGGAAAGTTCGGTATACTCTTCACACAGAAGGGAAGGCTTGGGTTCTCGCTGCGAAGAAATTTCAATTTTCGTTAGCCTACTTGTGCTCACATGCAGTACATAGTACATGTAGCAAGGGACAGTGTGTGTGTGCATGCTCGTCGCGAAAACATTTTCATTATGCGCACCAACGCTTTCATACCCTTCCCACAAAGAATAACGAAAACGCATGGCAAACGGTTTGAAAAGTTCGGTATACTCTTCACACATAAGGGTAGGCATGGGCTCTCGCGAAGAAATTTCAATTTGTGAGCGCTGCTTGTGCTCACATGCATACATACATATACATATTTGAGAGAGCAGAGAGCATCGTGAGAGAGAGAGAGCAAGGGAAACATTCAGCGCAGAGGGATCTTTTGTTCAACAGTCGACCATCTCGGTCGAGCGCATGAAGCGGAATGATTGTGCTTTCGTATATTTTCGTAGCCCGAACCCAAAAAGTGAAGAGCCGAGCAAATACGAAGTGTCTGGGAGATAACTCCCAAAAAAAAAAGTGTGCAAAACGCTTTACACTACTTGTCCGGTCTATGTGTTCTCTGGTTACTGGTCTTAATGAATCGAATGCTTAATGCTTAAGACTTGCTTAATTTTAAAACAAATAAATAGAAAACATGAGCAATAAGCAAAAATATAGAGCTGAGTGGGAGACTATGCCGGAACATGAAAAATGCCTGGGAAGGAGCGCTAATAATATGGATGCGCACTGTAAAGCGTGCCAGACTAACATTTTGAGTAGGCTGGCGTCACTTAAGCAGCATGCGGCTACACAAAAACAAAGATTTAATAATTTTGCCCGTTTCTAATCCGTCGTGTGAACGCATATTCTCTCAAATTAATTTAATCAAAACGATAAATCGAAACCGTTTTAAAAATGTAAATATATCACATATATTACATGTACAATAAACATTGCGCGAAAATGGGTGCAATAATTTTAAGCCCAGTGAACAAGTGTTATGTAAAGATTTCAACAAATTGAATTTAAGCTGCTCTGACGAAGAAGGCTAGTAAATATAATTAAATGATCTTAAGAGAAACTAGCAAGACTGAAGACTGAAGACTTTATTATTTTATTTTAAGAAAATGTTCCAAAATGAATTTTAAGCATTTAATTAATTTTAAGACTTTAAATATATATTGGAATATGGAATTGAATACGAATGCATATTGTTCTAGTTTTATGTTGGACTGAGATATTATTAATTTTTTAAAATGAAATAAACAACAAACATTTTTTGCAATGGGAAAACCCTTATTTTTTCTATATATAATAAGTCAGTTATTATTTTATTATAATTTGAATTTCCAGACGATTTATTTGTTATGGTATTTATAGTGGTATTTTGTAAAATATGAAATAGTATTTTATAGTATATTTTTGAGACCAAATTGGTATTTTTCGTTTGGTCCGGCGCGGTCACCCTGCTTGGCAGCACTATTTTGTCGGTAATAAGGAGAACATATTCGGAGGTTTGTGTATGCAAGTTTTATATATATTTATATATATATTAATACTTTACTTTGTGTGGAAATTTAAAAATGTTTATTTGCGATTTTAAATACGCTGCTACGTGTACTTCAATACGTGTCAACATTAACAATGCTAAATAGTATACAAAATAAGTATTATCTGTATACATACATATCTACAATGTATATAGACATATGTATGTATGTGTATTAAGTAAATAATGTAAATGTAATTAGATTGGGAGATATATATATTATACCACGTGTCCTTTATTTAATTTATTTTAAATCAATTACAGTGATTGTCAAACTATGTACATACTTTCTAAGATAACTCTGCGTACACCACGAAAAGTTGTTTTTGTGTTCAGTCTCCTCTGCCATTTGCTAATGGCAAGTATAGGACAGAATCTAATTATTATAATATAATTCATTTAATGTATTCATCCATGTACAGCTTGACACGAAAGTGTTTTCACATGAGAAAAAAAATATATTTTTGTTCTTGAACTTAAAAAAAAATACTAAGTATTGTAAAGTAAATGTTTTTAAAATTGTTGTCTTACAAATATAATTAATAAAAATTAAAAACTATTAACATAGGCATAAAACAAGTATGCTCAATCCGAGACTGCTCGACTAGGAGATACCCTGAATACTCCAAGCTGATATTTTAATCATACTGCACATCTCTTATGCACACATGTACATACACATGTATCCACACGCACGCCTAAGCCCGCGCTCTGCTAACTGCACAGTAAGCAGCGACTGCGCTTGGGCTGCGCTGCAGTGTGGGCAATATAATGAGAATTTATTTGTCGAATATTTGCTCTTGTAGTAGGACTATCTTCATGCGACTTTTAGAGCGTGATCATAATGTGTAAATGTGTGTATATTCCGAAGCACAAGTAATTAGAATACATTTTTTTGAATTGGTGGCAAAAGGGGCGTGGTTTCTAAAATTTTCCAAATTCTTTGTATCCGTTAAATGCATATACAGTCTTTCCATAATGAGTTCGCCCAGTTTGGATGCAAATACATACACACATATAGTGGAATACGGCTATAACGACTCCGCTTAAGGCGTTCAACCGGTTATGTCGATGAAAATTCGCCTCCGCTTAAAACGTGTCCGCTTTTAACAAAAATCCGCTTGTCTAGACGATTTTTATACCCTGAACCCATTGAAAATGGGAAATCAGGGTATAATGGTTTTGTGAAAAAGTATGTTACGGGCAGAAGGAATTATCGCATATGTATATTCTTGATCAGCACGACGAGCTGAATCGATATAGCCCTGTCCGTTCGTCCGTCCGTATGAGTGCGTCGATCTCAGAAGTTATAAGAGCTAGATATCTGAAATACCATACGCAGTACAAGTTTATCTAATTTTTTCGATAACTAATCCGATAATTTTTTTATCGAGAATAATGGAAAAAGCGACTTTGTTTTTTCAGCCTAATTTGAACCACTAATCACAGAACATATAGACTGGACAAGTAGTGTAAAGCGTTTTGCGTTTAGTTCCCAGACCACTTCGTATTTGCTCGGGCTACGAAAATATGGGAACACAAAATCATTTCTCTTCATGCGCTCGGCCGAGATGGTCGACTGTTGAACAAAAGATCCCTCTACGCTGAATGTTTCCCTTGCTCTCTCTCTCTCTCTCTCTCTCTCTCTCTCTCTCTCTCTCTCCCTCTTTCTCGATGCTCTCTGCTCCATCAAATATGTATATGTATGTATGCATGTGAGCACACGCAGTAGCTCACGAAAATTTCAATTCATTATCATCATATGAGATGTCTCTCATACCAAAAAAAAAAAGGGCAAGTGAAATCCCTTTATATTGTATTTTGTAATCTTCTTTATTTTAGCAAAAAAATGCGTGAACTAATTTTGCGTCATCAGATTAGCGCCCCCAAATGCAATCGTAATTACCTTGCTTATTTTGGCAATTGCACTCACCAAATTTTTTGTGAAGTTCAAAGTATTCAATATATTTATAGTATGCGTAAAGAAACAGTTTTATCTTTGGTTGAAAATCAAGATTGAGGCATACTTTGAATCTGGACTATGCTACCATAAAATTCCTGAAAAGACAGGAAAAAACAGAAAACCAATTGGCAATTTTCTTAAAAAAAGGGAAAACTATGGAAAAAACTATATAAGCGGCAATAATCAAGTGAGTTCACAAGCAAATAGAAGAGCATTAGTTCGGGAAGCTTCGGATTCCCACGAATCGACCACCAAGATTATCAACGGTCCAAAGAATAATGAAGAAACTTAATTACTTAAAGAGACAGAAATAGAAAAAAAAAGACACCAGTCGATATGCTGAGAAAAGAAATACGCATTAATTTTGCCCGGGCGAACATGACGTGGTCTATCCAATGACAGCATTTTGTCTTTTCTGATGAGTAAAATTGAGTTTGGAAGGAACTGAAGGCTATATTTATTATTTCCATGACCTACTCATAGAAGAACGGAAAATTAATGAAATATCAGTTGCTCGAAGGGTTTAGGGGATCTCGTAGTCGAGCAGTCTCGACTTAATGCATATAAGTATAAATATAAAATTTGGAGACTCTAGCTTTAAAGATGTAGAAGATATAAATTTAGTACTGGTTTTTAATCTATAACAAAATACGGGACAAATAATCGATATTTAAAGCAAAACTTGATATGCGCGTGCTATACACGGACCTAGGAAAACAATTTTGAAGTCTCTAGCTCTTATATCTTCTGATATCGACGTCTTCAAACATACGGACAGATGACGCGGAGTGTATATTGGCCAAATGGACCCATTTTAAAGGGTGCATTTGTAAGATACTTAAATATAAACGCGATTCTGCAATTCGAACCGAAAATCCTTCTCACAAACAATTCTAAATTGTGGTAGGCACAGGCCAATGTTCATGTCCCATGCTTACAAACAAACACATACACACACGCACATGTAATGGCACATAGGGATACAAATGCTCCTACAAGTGATATCCCATAATTGTGAGCATCGCATCCCACGCGTACACACAATCAAGTGTTACATACATGTGTATGTGAGCACTTCACAAGATCGACAAACTGCAAATGCTGGGCTTTTTAAATTGCTACAGGCAGCAAGAGGTTCGCACACAGGCATACAAATGCTCGTACAAGTAGCATACTGTAAGTGTGTGTGTGCATGCTCATCGCGAAAACATTTTCATTATGCGCACCAACGCTTTCATACCCTTCCCGCAAATAACGAAAACGCAAATATTTTGTAGGAGCTTGGCAACGGTTTGAAGAATTCAGTATACTCTTCACACAGAAGGGAAGAAACGGGAGTCTAAGGCGAAGAAATTTCAATTTTGTGTGCTACTGCTTGTGCTCACATGCATACATACATATTCATATTTGAGAGAGCAGAGAGAGCGAGAGCATCGCAGACCCCATAAATATACAATATATACATATATTGTATATTCTTGATCAGCTCGACGAACTGAGTCGATATAGCCCTGTTCGTCCGTCTGAGTGCGTCGATCTCAGAAGCTGTAGGTGCTGGAGAGCATGTATACTAGTGTGTACCAATCGCAGTACAAGTTTATCATATTTTTTCGATAACTTATCCGGTTACTTTTTTATCGAGAATAATCGAAAAATTGATTTTGTTTTTTCAGCCTTATTTGAAAACTTTTAGAGAGACTTCAGATTTACTTTGTATATACAGTTGATCGATACGAAGATTTTGTCATTTATAGATTTTGGATACCACGCCCCTTCGCCCCAATTTGGAAAAAACACATTTCAAGTACTAGACACTTTTGCTTTGGAATGTACACGTTCTGAAAGTTTCATAAAGATTGTATGTCTACACACACTGCAGCGCAGCCCAAGCGCTGTCGGTGCTAACTGCGCAGTCAGCAGAGCGCGTGATATACGTGCGTATGGACGCGTGTGCATGCATGTGGGCATAAAAGAAGTGCAGAATGAGTAGTGCTACCCGCTACTTTAAATAAAACACTTTATTTCCAAAGTAATAATACATATATTGTTCCGCTTCAATGCGGCCGCTTAGCTTGTCACAAAAGTACTAAACGCTAGAACTTGAATGGGGAGAGAAGTAACAAGAGATTATCAAGAGAGAGTGTTAACGGGCTCTGCTTTGTAGGCGTCGCTTTCTGCTTAGCATCTCGGTGCCGGTTCCCACATCCCTCCCTTCCTTACGAGCTTGAGCTTTAGTCCCTCAGTGGAGTTTCCGTGATCCTCTGCTGGTGCTTGGTCCTCGAATTGTGCGGCTGGCTGTGGAGTTGGTTTTGTGGCCGGAATTGGAACCGATTTCGCGTTGGTGACATCGGCCGGTTCCGTTTCACCCGGGACCCTTTTAAGGTGATTTGCATTCCTTAAGAGCGTTTTCCCTCCCCCACTCACTTGTACTATATTCCCTTCTTTTTTTACAACTTCGTATTCAGTAGTGTCAAACATTGGTGTTAAATTGTGGGGAAAAACTACATTCTTGAGAACCACCTTATCTCCTACATTTATATTTACTTCCTTTGCTCCTCTCCTCTTGTCTGCAACTTCCTTCCCCTTCTGTTTATTAATGCAATCTTTATCCCTTTCCGCTGAGTCAGCGAACTCCCCTACTAAATCTTGTATTCCTGGAATCTTGTCCCTAATTACTCGATTGAACATTAACTCAGTAGGAGCGGTGCCTGTGGTTCCATGAGGGGTTACATTGTACATCAGGGTGAAAGCTTGAATTTCATCCTTAAGATTTTTCTTGGTTTGATGAGCTATCTTCAACCGCTTGACTAATGCCTTGTTCATATTCTCGACCTCGCCGTTGGCTTGCGGCCAATAAGGAGGTGTTGTTAGTTGCTCGATGCCGCACGATTTACAGTAGTTTTTGAACTCAAGGCTTATATATTGTCGGCCATTATCAGTTCGCAATTGTTTCGGTCGATGATTTTATCTTTAAAACAAATTTCTTCTATTTCGGCCTTTGT